CGTGGTTGGAAAATATCAGGCCCACCGCGAACTCGCGAGACTGGAGGCCAGGCCAAAACAGGGTAACTCTCCTTGTTCTAAATAACACCAATTTGCAGTTCATGAATGCTGCTTTTTCCCCTTTTAAGCCCAATACTAGTGAAAACGAACAACTAAACCCCATTCATAGACCAAAAAAAAAAATAAAATCACAACTGATTCTTAAGTCACAGACAACAGCTTACTCCCCAAATATGTACGTGCAAATCAACTATTAGCACAATTAACTGTTACAGTTGTTGACAGAAATCTACATACACAGGAGGTGGTTTGATCTGCTGAAGAACATTAACACATGAGCAGCGTAACATTCACGCTTGGAGCCGTCACCCCACATGGGCCACATGACCAAATAACCTTAAATAACCTCAGTGCCAAGGCTGTGACTCCCGCCGAAAAAGTCTCTTGCGTCACGAGGGTGCTGGGGAGGGTGAAGATGCCCAGCAGGCTTCCTGGCACTGTCACACCACAAGCTTCTGAAACGCATGAAGACGCTAGATAAGACCATCAGAAAGCCCAGCTTTCTTTATCATCATCTGCTTATTAAACGGTTTACGCCATCGATTCGCAGCCTCGCATTGCCTTTCATGTCCTCCAAATTAACATGCCAAAGGCTCGCACCCCACTCCCCACCCCCCCCCCCCCCCCCCCGCTACCACTTCCAGCGCTAAGCTAACTAGGCCACCCTTCCCATTCTTGTCTTGCTTTGGACCCAAGAGGGGCTTTTTTCACAGAACTATGCCACAAATAGTAAGAGGACACAGGGAGGAAGCTTTGCGTGCGGGGGCCCAAGGTCCCCAGGTCTCATCCCTGCTCAAGAACCACCCCCCCACCTCACGTCACCGCCACACACCTTCCGGTTGACATACCCAGAAAGAAAACCATTTAAAAAGTATATGAAAGGACAGGTTCAAGGTCAGCAGGACGGTGCACACCCCATTAGCCGCACAACAAGACAGACAGCTGAAGAGGGGACAGGGTAACGATGTGTGGGATGGCTCCCCCCGAAGGCAGGGATGTCCCATCCCAGTACACCGTCATTCTCCCTTCTATAATATATCCAATATAATCATTTGCAGTGTTAAATAAATCAATAGCTGAATGTTTAGTGGTGCAACTCGGCTCCCCAAAGCACAACAGCAATTCTCTGTCTGAAGCATGGTGCACTCAGCAACCAACTCTGAACAGGAGCCCCCCCCCACACACACACA